AAGGAAGGAAGGAAGGATCTTTCCTGATGTAGCTACAGATGTCAAATATTGAAGTGCAAAATGTTTGCCCTACATGCTCTGACAAAATGGGAAGACCTGGAAGACAAGACAGACAGGTCTGTGTTCCGATTCTGCCTTTCCTGTGAGTAGGTAAGCAAGGAGGAGGAGGCTATCAAATGTAATCCTTTTACCAAGCAAGCATTATAATCACGGGGCCTGACCCACACCCAATTCCTTTCTTCTCAGGGCTCTTAAACATGAAGTGGGCAGCTTACGGCAAATGGAAATCGCTTCTTGTTTGCCACACGACAAGATGTGTCAAGTTTGACAAGACGCAACTGAAACGGAAAGACGGCCTCTCCGCGGGGCCCTTTCCCCGGCTTCACCGCGTTTGAGAAGAAGTGAATTCTCGTTGGAGGATCAGACTTTCAAATGACTAGACTTCAGGCCAACTGTGTGACAAAGACCAACTACCGAAATATTGTCGGGTTATTTAAAACATCTTTTCCAACCCATTCCTCTGTTTCTGTGGAATTGTGGTTCCTATCGCCCTGGGCCTTTCTTTTCCGTGGGTCCCTGCACGAAATTGGCTTTCCTGGACGCTTGGACAGGGATTTGGGTCAAACCATGATGACATCACAGAGGTCAAGAATGTCATTTTGCAAAAGACATCGATGCTATAAGCTACCCGAAACTATAAACTATGATTATTATTCTGTTGCTTTGAATGTACCTGTACATTGAGAGTTTCTGCACTGAAGACAAATTCCTTGTATTGAAAGTTGGCCAATAAAGAATTGTTCTGTTCTGTTCTGTTCTGTTTTTCTATTCTGTTCTATTCATTTTCCGTTCTGTTCTGTTTTGTTCTAGACTGGTCTGTTCTGTTCTTCTATTCTGTTCTGCTCATACGACGCACTTAACGACTGTGCTACGAAAGGTCATAAAATGAGGCAAAACCCATTTAACAGTGGAAATTTGGGCTTGTTAAGTCCCAACAATTAAGAAATGTTGTTGTTAAGTCAAAGATTGTATTGTCAGCTGCCCTGGAAAAGCTGACAATATAATTTTGTACATACATAAACACACACACACACACACACACAGCCAAATGTAACCGGAAGATTGGTTCTTCGCATGAGGTCTAGAATGCTGAAATTTTTTTTTGAAATTAAAACCCACTGTCTTCAAAATTCAGGGCTGGCAATCTGAACATCTACACAAACCGGGTATGCACATTTCTCAGTCCAGGCATATAAATGTTTCAGCAATGAGAAATATTAAAAAAAAAACCAAAAAAAAAACCCTTTGCCATGATAAATGTGGCAAGGCAAGGGAGCCGTTTCTTGTTAATTCTTGCAAGGCAAATTAAAAAAAAAAAAACCCAAAGCAATTCATTTATCTTGAAATAAGCACCCCAGTAGCACGCCTCCAATTCCGCAAAAGGTTACTCTTTGTAGGACCATTAATCCATTAAAAAAAACAACCATCTTTTATTTCAAAAACTCAAATCCAAAGTTGTACCTACGTTTGCCTGAGATTCGTCATGGCCATTAGTCTCCAACTCCTTGGCATTTTTTTTTAACTGCGAAAGAGAGAGAGAGAGAAAAAAAAACAACTATCATGATTAGCCAGTTTCACACACAGTTATTGTTGATTTATAACGACACACAACGAACAAAATATACGGAGCGTACCACTCTAATGAGCTGTTTGCTGAAACCAGTTAGAAAGCAACCTAGTTAAGATCTGATAGGCTGGCTTACAAAAAATAAAATAAAAGGAAATCGAGGCTCGTTATTTTTTTGTTAAAAAAATAATAAGATTAGGAAAGCCATCTCCAAGCGTGAGAAGGGTGCAAAATTGGCTTTCAAGAGTAATAAACGCCTTCATTTCCCATTTGGCTGCTATTAATTTGGAACTTTTGCAAGCGATTTGCAAAGTTGCTGGTAGCTAAATAGCAGGCAGCTAATAATTGCTTCTGAGTTATGAGTTTTGGGGGCATTTTGAAAATGCCATGATGGGCTTTTTTTTTTCTGCTCAGGAACCTAAAATCGGGAAGATAAAGCAGCTCATTTGATGGCCTCAGTCATTGAAACCCAACGTCAGGGTGATTGCAGGCCATCCGGAAAAAAAAAAGGAAAGAGAAATATTCTTAGGGGGAAAAATTAAATCAAATGCCACGTGATTACATAAACATGTTGAAAAGCTGAGGAAAGGCAATGTGGTTGTGTTGTAACAGAACAACGCTATCTGTTTTTTGGGGAAATTGAGACATCCTATTGGAAAGAGATTAGTTTTGCAAGCATTGTCTATTCTTCGTTGCAGAATGTGTCTAGCTAAGAAATATTTTTAGATTGCTGCATGTTTGAGATCTCCCTATAGACTTTAAGTGAAAGTTTGAATAACAGAATAACAGAGTTGGAAGGGACATGAGAGGTCTTCTAGTCCAACCCCTTGCTCAAAAAGAAGATTCTCTACCATTCTGGACAAATGGTAGAACCCCCCATAATTTCTGGTGGCAAGCTGTTCCACTGGTTTATTGTTCTCACTGTCAGGAAATTTCTCCTTAGTTCTACGTTGCTTCTCTCCTTGATTATGGTGTGGCTCCGTTACCTGAGCCTGTGTCATCGGCAGGAGAGGACTCCGAGAGTGAAGAAGAGGAGTTGGCAAGGGCTCCCTCTCCAGGACCCTCCTCTCTGGCAATGCCTTCGGTGTCCGCCGAAGGGCAAGAGATCGGGCCTGGGCCAAGCATGTCCATGCAGCCACAGATGGACAGTGATGAGGGTAATGAGTCTTGGCTGGATCCACGCCAGTGTCGCAGAGATAAGCGCGCACAACAGAAGGGCGTGCCCGAGATTAGGCTGAGTCACTGGACCACACCCCACAGGATATAAAAGAGAGTGTGGTGGCCAGTCAAACCTTGTGACGAACAAAGCTGAAAGCTTCCACGCCATTCTGCATTGCCGGACTTTTGCTATAAGACTTAGCTGGACTATCTCTGGACTTGATTAACTCCGTAATTATTGAGCTGTTTCTTTGATGTATCAGAGGTGGGGAGAAGTTATCTCTCCTCTTTGTAAATAATAAACTCTTGGCAGGCAGCCACTAGGTTGTTGCCAAGTTCCGTTAACTTAAGGAAAAGGATTTTGCTGGCTGGTTTGGTCTTTAACTCCTGAGCGTCTGTTGGTGTGTGTGCGTGGGGTTGGGACAGAACAGATTATTTTTCCACCTGTTGCTTCTTCTCCTGCCTTCTGGTGCTTTGGAGAATAGGTTGATTCCCTCTTCTTTGTGGCATCCCCTCAAATACTGGAAAACTACTATCATGTCACCCCAGTCCTTCTTTTCATTAGACTAGACATATCCAATTCCTGCAATCATTCTTTCCTGAAGATACCTCATAGTAGCGCATGTGAAGATATGTCTTGGATTGTTGGAATATTTAACCTCTTTTCAATTGCCCTTTCTTCCCTGAATGTAGAACATCAGCTTCTAATCTAGGGCATGTCGATCCTTGAATCCATCATTCTTTCGATTCACACAATATTTCCTGTGCCAAATGTGACTTGTGTGATTTTGGCCAAACTGTAGAATGTTTCTTTCATCATTCCAAATCACTTTGTTGGGAAAAAGTTTCAGGTTTAATCAAAGCTTTCTTACAACTTCCCTGGACAACAATTCCTGTAGTACGATCAAAGAAGAGAGTTGCATCCTGTGCTGATCGTTGTTGGATAAGCTACGCTGTATTGTAGAACTGGAGAGAACTTACTCTAGGCCAGGTAATTTTTCAGAAGGCCATTTCAATAAATCTGTGAATGCCATTTTTCACTTTGGACCAGTTTTCCGCCAGCTCTAGTAGAGAGGTCTGTCTATCTATCTATCTATCTATCTATCTATCTATCTATCTATCTATCATCAGCTATCTATCTATCTATTATCTATATGCAAGGGACGCAGTGGCTCAGTGGCTAAGAGCGATCGAAAGGTCGGCAGTTCAGCGGTTCGAATCCCTAGTGCTGCATAACGGGGTGAGCTCCCGTGACTTGTCCCAGCTTCTGCCAACCTAGCAGTTCGAAAGCAGTTAAAAGTGCAAGTAGAAAAATAGGGACCACCTTTGGTGGGAAGGTAACAGCGTTCCGGGCGCCTTTGGTGTTTAGTCATGCCAGCCAATGACCAACAGAGACGTCTTCGGACAGCGCTGGCTCTTCGGCTTTGAAATGGAGATGAGTACCGCCCCCTAGAGTCGGGAACAACTAGCACAGATATGCGAGGGGAACCTTTACCTTTACTTATATATCTATATCTATCTATCTATCTATCTATCTATCTATCTATCTATCTATCATCTAATATATGTCTTCTAGCTTTTATATTTATATATAATTCTGTTTACTACAAACAGTCTTTTTTCAAATGCAGGCTATTACTAAAAATGTCCTTAACAGCCTGCCAGAAATTCCATGGATAAGATAGAGTCTTACTAGAGTTGACAGAAAGCCCAGAAGCCAGGTTTGCAGAGAAAATTCAAACCCAATGATCAGTGAACGAACGGACGAACACATGTTGTTTCCTGCAGCTTTTTACAAGCTGTGTGCAAACTTAAATAGGCTAAGGGAGTGGCCAATTAGCCCCAAGTCTTACACTCCTCCTGAGTAGCCACTCCTGCCTTTTGGCAGCCCTGCGTGCTCGAGCATTGAGAAGAGGCTCCTCCACTTCACTCTCTTCACTTGAAGGAGCCTCTGGAGGTTCTGAAGGCCCTGGCTGAATCTCTGCCTCTGGCACCACATCTTCTTCAGCCTTCTCACTGTCTGACTCGAGTGCTGGCTGCACAGGCTGCTGGTGCGACATCACACCAGCCTCCTTGTCGTCGGGATCAACCACAATCCGCTAGCGGGCCACAACAATATACTCAGACTAACCTGAGCACAACCAAGCCCCCACCTAAACAGAACACACACCCATCCAATCAGAGCACAGCCAACCCCCCATCCAATCAGAGCACAGCCAAACCCCCAACCAATCAGAACACACCTCCAGCCAATCAGAACACAGCCAAGCTCCCACCCAATCAGTTCACACCCCCACTGGCAGTTAAAAGGAAGAAACAGCTGCGATCACACACATTGCTCCTAGAAGCACGAAGCCGAAAACACCAGCCTGAAGATGACGAATGAGACTTTGTCGAAACGTTGCCAAGACACCTCCAATTTTATGCGGGATAAAACCTGAATAACCAAAGACATATATATATATATATATATATATATATATAATATATATATATATATATATATATATATATAATATATATATATATGATGTATGTCTTCTAGCTTTCCTTCACTTGAGTCCAACAGTTCTAAGCTTCCATTTCTTAACAATAGTTCTTACAATTGAAATTGCTAGGTGGAAGCATTTATAGATTTTTTTTATCGCCTTTACCTGCTTTGTAAGAGTGAATTATTTTCCACTTCAAATGCTCAGGCAGCTGTTTAGAAGAGGCTGCGGTTGTTGAAAGGAGACAGAACAATTATCGCAGCCGGAGACATGAGGAAGGGAAATTCCCAATGTTTACCTCTGGGACCATCACCTGGGAACCTACGGAGTCATTCATCTTGGGGCCTTATTAACAACTTTATGGGGATTTTTTCTTTTTTTTAGGAGTGATATTGAATGAACAAGAAGGGTACTCGGATATATGCAGCCATCTTTGCAACTGTTTTCTTATTTTGAATCTGTAAACAACTGCAGACAGACCTCAAGTATGCATTCAAATGTATAAAATGATGCTGTTCTAGGTTTGTAGGTGTCAGACAGGAGAGATGGACAGTGTAGAAAAGATAGAAAGATAGATAGATAGATAGATAGATAGATAGATAGATAGATAGATAGATAATAGATAGATGATAATGATAGATGATAGATAGATAGGTAAGATATAGTTAGATGATAGATAGAGATAGATAGATAGAGATAAATAGATGATATAAAATAGATAGATTGATAGATGATAGATATATGATATAGATAGATAGATAGTAGATAGATGATTGATAGATAGATAGATATAGATAGATGATAGATGATAAATAGATAGATAGAGATAATTAGATGATATAAAATAGATTATAGATAATGATAGATGATAGATAGATGATATAAGATAAATAGTAGATAGATGAGGGATAGATAGATAGATAGATAGATAGATAGATAGATAGATAGATAGATATAGAGATAATTAGATGATATAAGATAGATAGATGATAGATAGATGATATAAGATATAAGATCAAAACCATGTTGTTCCGCCAGGCTGGGCTATCAATATAAAGATTTTAATTGGTTTTAAATGGGATTTTAAATTCGGGGTTTTATAAATTGGGCCTATTATTTAATAATTTAATTATTTTAATTTTAATTATTTTTTAAAATTGTCTGTCTTTGTGTTTTTAATTAGGCTGTACATCGCCCTGAGTCCTTTGGGAGAAGGGCGGTATAGAAATAAAATAAAATAAAATTAAATAAATAAATAAATAAATAAATAAATAAATAAATAAATAAATAAGATAGTAGATAGATGATATAGATAGATAGATATAGCTAGACAGAAATAATTAGATGATAGATGATAGATGATAGATGATAGATATAGTTGAGATAGATATAGACAGAGATAGATATTGTAGATAGATGATAGAGACAGACAGATAGATAGATGATAGATAGATAGATAGATAGATAGATAGATAGATAGATAGATAGATAGATAAACTGAGAAAATGAGGCTGTAATACCATAGTGTGTAACTTTGATCAGCAGAGGGGGAAAAAAAAACCAGGAAAGGGTCACAAGCTTATTTTTCATTTTAATTCTCCACTCACAAATTGGAATCCGCTTTGAGTAAAGCAGAGAGAGAAAGAAAAATCATTTGTTCAGTGTATAAAATGATAAATAAGAATGCTAGACTTCCAGCAGCTCACAGCTACGAAAATACAGAATACATTCATTAATGGGTTTCTTCTAACAATCAGAATTCCATCCATTTCTCTTTTTGCCCCCCGCATCTCTCTCTCTCTGTGTGTGCCTTTGTGTGTGTGTGTGTGTCTTTTGTGTGTATGTGTGTGTGTACATGGTGTGGGGGTAGAGATTGACTTTGTCATGAATGTTTTGTGTTTGGAGGAAAAAAGGAAGAAGAGAAAGATACAGGATAATGAGACATCGAAATAAATAGCATCGCGTTGCTTCTATGTCTAATAAGCACACACCTTATTATATCAAATGCTACTTCTTTGTTCCTTCCATTTTTTCCTAATTTCTTATTCCAACAATGCACTAATGTTTGAGAATGGCTTATTTTATAGATGCAGAGAGCGCCATTGTGAGATCAAATGTTCAATTTAAACCACGTGATTTTATTCAAGATTTATTATTTGGCACAGAATTGAAAGACCGCAGAAACATGAGAAGAACAAACCAAGGGAAAAAAAAAAGATATGGAAGAATAAAAGAGAAAGTGAAGGACAGGAAAAAGACCACAAAAAATAACTGCAGGAGCCACTTACAAACATAAGGATTGCTATTTTCACCTCTGGGAATAAGACGGCTCCCTTCTTCCCATAAGCAACCCTTAAGTGGTAAATCCCAAAATCACCAATTCCCTCTGACCATTTTCAGCAAAATAATAATAAGAATAAAAGTCCTTGAAGGGAATCCAGTCGTTTCCTCCTTAAGCAAACAAACCAATTATTCTATTTCTGCAAACTCAGCCATCTTCGCCACTCACTGCCTCATTGTGGGTATTTCTGCATTCTTACATTTTTGTGGGTATAATAATCTCACTGCACTTACCATATACAAAACCTACCTGCCCATCAGTAATTAATCTTGAATTAAAAATTCAAGAGATATTGTTGTCTCTATCTATCTGTCTATCCTTCTATCATCTCTCTCTCTGTGTCTGTCTCTCTCTCTCTATTATCTCTCTCTCTCTATCATCTATCCATCTATCCAACTATCCATTTATCTATCTCACAGATGTCAAACTCGCAATGTCATCTTGCTGTCATATGGCTGTCACATTTTTCCCATTTGCAGTTTGACACCCCTGATCTATCTCTCTATCTCTCTATTATCTATACATTATCTATCTACCTATCCATATCTATCTATCTGTCTGTCTGTCTGTCTATCTATCTATCTATCTATCTATCTATCTATCTATCTATCTCTATCATCTATCTCTTTCTATCTACCCATCCATTCATCTACCCATCCATCCACCTATCTCTCCATCTATCCTTCTATCCATCCATCCACCCATCCATCTACCCATCCATCCATCCATCCATCCATCCACTTATCTATCCTCCTATCCTATCCTATCCTATCCTATCCTATCCTATCCTATCCTATCCTATCCTATCCTATCCTATCCTATCCTATCCTATCCATCCATCTAACTATGTAACTATCACCTCTCCAATTTATATAGCTGCCATCTCAAAAGCAAGTGAATCTGGGCAGCATACAACAAAATTGAACAATGAATCTGCAAAAACATTAACAACTATTAAAATATTTTTTTAAAAAATATATATATAAAAACAGATTTCTGAGCCTGAGGCTTTGTCCACAATTATAGCCAACCGTCTGTATCAGGGAAACTGAGCCAGGAAGCTTGGCCTGAGCTGCCCTTGTTAGCACTCTACTGTTTCATAAAGGCGAGTTACCAAAGCCAATCCTTTTCTTAATTTCAGCAGCTACTTAATCTCTCGATAATCAGGAATGAATTAACTTCAATTAGACGACAGAATTACCAAGCTTTATTAGCTTCAGCTGAAACGACTCTGGCTACAATGATATAAGACTTAACTGAGATACGCACAATATCAGACCTCCGGACTTTTCGTCGGGCCCTGAAAACACACCTATTCCATCTAGCTGGGCTGGCTTGATCCTATCCTCTCAGTTTTAATTGAATTTGGTTTTAATTGGGTTGTTTTTAATATCTTGGCCGAAATTATTTAATTGTTTTTAAAATTGTTTTTAAATTTTTATATGCAATGTTTTATCTTGGCTGTACACCGCCCTGAGTCCCACAGGAGAAGGGCGGTATAGAAATAAAATTATAATAATAATAATAAAAACTCTTGTCTCCTGTCTACACAGTTGCTGCCTCGACTCCCAATGACAAGTTTCCACACAGCTCAACCATCTTGAGGCAATCAAGTTCCCTCAAAAGAATGATGAGTAGCTACTCTTGCTTGGGGTCTTTGTGTCCTCCTTGAAGATTGGCGTTAGGACACCATGAGAAGATGGGCTCAGAACCATAGGGCCACAGACAAGGAACGCTTACACAAGAGTGGCATCCATCTACTTCACAGTCTAGCAAGATAAGGAGCAACTACCATCATCATCATCATCATCTTCATTTAACAACCTCATAACTGAATGGAGCAACTGAATGGAGCAACTGAATGGAGCAAATGAATGGAGCTAACAGAGTGTTTAGTGGCCGGATGCCAATGCAGATTTGTTCAGCAAATATATTCTCATTGTGCCCAGAGAGAGAAATATTTATCTCTACCTAGGATTGAACTCACAGCCTCCTGACTGTGAGGCGAGAGGTCCACCTCTAGGCCACTGCTCCACTGCCATCATGCCCTTACTAGATATAAGATACCATGGCTTTCTAATTATGTCTCAAGCCTCTGGGACATTATTCCCACATCCCGAATCTGACTAGCCCCTACTATAACCATAGAACCCCAGACGGTGAAAATATGGTTTTCTGACAGGTGGGGAGACTAGCCTCAATTAGAGAGATTTGGTCCTCTCTAATTGGCAGAGGCCTATTTTGAAGTGGATGTATTTATTTTAGTGTTATAATGAGGCCTGGTCTGGAGGAAGATGGCAATTTGATTTGTGAACTGCCTAGCGATATATTAAAAATATAGAAAATAGGCTATAGATGTTCTGGAAACGGAGGAGAGGGGAGAGGAGAAGGGAGAGGAGGGGAGAGGGAAGTGGCAGGGAGGGAAAGGGAGGGATAGGGGAGGAGAGGAGAGGAGAGGAGAAGAGAAGAGAGGAGAGGAGAGGAGAGGAGAGGAGAGGAGAGGAGAGGAGAGGAGAAGAGAAGAGAAGAGAAGAGAAGAGAAGAGAAAGAGAAGAGAAGAGAAGAGAAGAGAAGAGAAGGGAGTGGAGTGAAGTGGAGGAGAGGGGCGGGGAGGAGATAAGTGGAGTGGAATGGAGGAGATGAGAGGAGGGAGAGGAGGAGATGGGAGGGGAGGGGAGGGAGAGGGAGGGGAGGAAGAGAGGAGAGGAGAGGAGAGGAGAGGGAAGTGGACGGGAGGAGAGGGGAGGGAAGGGAAGGGGAGGAGGGGAGGAGAGGAGAGGAGGGGTTCCCATCTAATGAACACATCATTCATGTATTACTTAACTAAAATGTTACTACTGACTGTTTGATTGAAGTAATCTCTCCTCATCCCAAAGGATTTACTGATGGACTCCTGCTGAAGCTTCTCCATTCGGTGTGCACTTTAGGTCAACCGTGGCTGCTTAAAACGCTGTAGAGACCCATCCAAACATATACCCAGCTCACCTGTTCCTGCAGGATCTTCAGCATGGCCTGCGTGTGGGAATGCTCTTCTTTTGCTTGTTCGAGTTCCAATTTCTTGTTATTTAATTCTTCTTGGATTTTCAACAGTTGCTACAAAAAAAAAAAAGAAGGGATATTGATAATTAGGGAGGCTTGATTTATTTAGCCTAGGGCATAACACAGAGTTGTCCAATGTTTCCAGCTTTGAGGACTGGCCGGGGGTGCGGGGAGAAAGGGGTTGGTTCCGTGTGAGCGGGCAGCAAGCACGCACACACATGGACAGTTCAGGGGTGAAATGTTCCCGGTTCAGACCGGATCACCCGATCCGGTAGCGATGGCGGCGGGTGGTTCAGAGAACCAGTAGCAAAAATTCCTGCTCCCCCCCCATGCTCAGCTGAGCCGCGCGATCATCAGAGGCTTTTTTTTAAACTTTTAAAAGCATTTTTTTCTTTGGCCGAAAAAATGCTTTTAAAAGTAAAAAAAAGCCTCTGATGATTGCACAGCTCAGCTGGGATCGTCAGAGCCTTTTAAAAGCATTTTTTTCCTACAACCTATGCTTTTAAAAGCCTCTGATGATCCCAGCTGAGTTGCCTGATCGTCAGAGGCTTTTAAAAGCATTTTTTTTTCTACAACCTCTTCGGCCGAAGAGGTTATAGAAAAAATGCTTTAAAAGTTAAAAAAAAAAAAGTTGGCCACACCCACCCTGTCACATTACCCACCACCACCACCAAGCCACGCCCACAGAATCGGTAATAACAAATTTTACATTTCAACACCTGCCACTCATTTAAACGGAGCACATGCATGCACACTCGCCCACTGTTTGTGAGGATGCGCTTGTGCGTGCACACACTCGCCGGACATTTTGGAGGCTTGGTTGCAAACACCTCATGGCCCACTAGTGAGCCATGGCCCACAGTTTGGGGACCTCTGGCATAACATGAAAAAATAAAGGTTTCCCCTGTCCAGTCGTGTCCGACTGATTTCTTGCCTGAGGGAGCCAGCGTTGTCCGAAGACAAACTCCATTTCAACACTGTTACCTTCCTACCAAAGTGGTACCTATTTATCTACTTGCATTTGCATGTTTTCAAACTGCTAGGTGGGTAGGAGCTGGAGCAAAGAACAGGAGCTCACCCCGTCAATGAGCGCTTGGGTCTCGAACCTTGACTGTCAGCTTTCCAGCTGACAAGCTCAGGGTCATTAACGGCTGAGTCATCATGCCCCCCCCCCTTTATAACATGCATGGAGTTACAATATATATATATATATATATATATATATAGTATATGTAGGTCTTTGGTTATTTGGGTCTTCTCCCACGTAAAATTGGAAGTGTCTTGGCGACGTTTATATATATATATATACACACACACACAAACGTTTCACCTAAATTAAAAACACAATAAAATATAAATATTAAAAAGATCTGTGTTCAAATACCAATGACTAGACCAGCTAACCATTAAACCGCAGCATCGTTTATTGGAAAAAAGTCAGATACTGGACCCTTCTACAGGTAGTCCTCGGTTTACAACCCAACCACCACGGAGCCTGGGATTTATGTTGCTCAATAAGAAATGTGTTAAGTGAGTTTTGTCACTTAACAAATTTGGAAAATAGCTTGACCCCTTTCCTCCTCTCTGTGGCAGCCCCTCAACTATTGGACGATTGCTATCATGTCTCCCTTGGTCCTTTTGTTCATTCAAGCCAGATTAAAGTCAGATTAACAGAGTTGGAAGGGATCTTGTAGATCATCTAGTCCAACCCCACACTGAATCAAGAGACCCTACACCATTTCTGACCGATGGCAGTCCAGTCTCTTCTTGAAAGCCTCCAAGGATGAAGCTCCCACAACTTCCGAAGGCAACTTCTGTTCCATGGGTTGATTGTTCTCACTGTCAGAAAATGTCTCCTTATTTCCAGGTTGAATTTCTTCTTGACCAATTTCCATCCATTATTCCTTGTCTGGCCTTTGCGTCAATGGAAAATAGTTTGACCCCCTCCTCTCTGTGGCAGCCCCTCAAATATTGGAAGATGCTCTCCTGTCTCCCATGGTCCTTCTCTTCACTAGACTAGCCATGCCCAGTTCCTGCAACCGTTCATCGTATGTTTTAGTCTCCAGTCCCTTCATCATCCTGGTTGCTCTTCTCTGCACTCTTTCTAGAGTCTCAACATCCTTTTTTATAGTGTGGTGACCAAAACTGGACGCAGTATTCCAAGTGGGATCTTACTAAGGCTTTACAGAGTGGTATTAGTACCTCTCTTGACCTTGAAGCCATCTTTATATGTCTTCCCAAGTCTGGAGGAAAAAAACTCTCTCAAAGTCTTGCACCAATGGCGTTTTTCAAATTTGTTCTGTTTTTACGGCGGCGGCTCGAACGACGGACACGCAAATCACGTCTGCCGGCGTCTTGTGCCTGCTCGGCCTGCCTCCAAACACATCCCTCTTCACGTAACATGCATTTTCGTCGTACATTAAAACTTTCTAACTCCTCGCCAGCGGGACCAACCACAAAGCTGCTGTCATATCTATCCGGGCTAAAGTTTTATTTGTTGAAGGGACCCTCTGGCTTTAATAAGACCGGGGGGGGGGGGGGTAAGCATTGTAGCCCATAAATAATTTATGCACTCAATCCCTTTAATATAATTAGTCTCTGGCCCGCCGCCATCTCGTTTCCTACAAAGCCATCATCTGAAATAGATTTGCGCTGAGTTGCCAAGAAGACAAAAAAAAATGGCTTCTCCCACCCCCACCTCTGCTTGGAGAGCAGGACCCTTGCAAACTGATGTATCAGCAGTCAAAAGCCCCCAGAGATGAAAAAGGGAAGAGTTGGGGGACCAACTGTGATATTTATTGATTCGTTTATTTATTGGTATCCTGCCTTTATTTTAGAAACAACTCCAGGCGGTGAATATCACCAACGTATCTTCCTCCTCCTAGTTTCGACCACAAAAACAATCCTGTAAGGTAGGTTGACCTGAGAAAGATAGAGAGAGACTGGCCCAAAGTCACCCAGCTGCCTTTCATGTCTAAGGCAGAACTAGAATTCCCAGTCTCCTGGTGATTGACCCAACGTCACCTAGCTGGCTTTCATGCCCAAGATGGGACTAGAATTCAACAGTCTCCTGGTGATTGACCCGAAATCACCCAGCTTTCATGCTTAAAGGGGAACTAGAACTCCAAATCTCCTGGTGATTGACCCAAAATAACCCAGCTGGCTTTCATGCCTAAGGTGGGACTAGAACTCCCAGTCTACTGGTGATTGACCCAAAATCACCCAACTGGCTTTCTAAGGCAGAACTAGAATTCCCAGTCTCCTGGGAGATTGGCAGAACTAGAACTCCAAATCTCCTGGTGATTGACCCAAAATAACCCAGCTGGCTTTCATGCCTAAAGTGGGACTAGAACTCACAGCCTCCTGGTGATTGGTCCAAAGTCACCCAACTGATTTTCATGGTTATGACAGGACTAGAACTCATCCTCTCCTGCTTTCTAGCCTGATGCCTTAATCACTAGAACAAACTGGCTTACGGGGGAAATTCTAAGGCTCTGAAAAGACTTTCAACTTTTCCAGTCCAATATGGAGCCCATATATTCAAGGGGGTGACGGAAGGGACCTCAATATCCATTACTTTGCCTGGAAATATACAGTATTTGTGGAACCTAAGTTAAAAACAACTTCCTCTAAGCCATTCCCTGTATCTTTGCTTCCATCAACACTTTCATTTGCATCTGCAAAGAATTTCTCACTATATTAATCTAATTAAACCGAAGAACAGAGCCCCTGGTTAATGCATCATTCCATTTGCTTGTTAAAATTTCTAAAATGTGTAAAAGATGTTCTGGATAAGACATAGTTGATCTTTGGTAAGAGGAGGAGGAGGAGGAGGAAGTAGAAGAAGAGAAGGAGGAGGAGGGGGAAGAAGGAGAGGGGAAGAAAGAAGAGGAGGAGAAGGAAGAGGGGAAGGAGGAGGGGGGAGGAGGAGGGGGGAAGAAGGAGGAGGAGAATATGGAAAGAAGCAGAAGAATGGAGATGTTTTTGTTGTTGTTTTGTTTAACAAAGAATATGAAAAGATGCCATTAAACTAGTAATGATGAAGCATGCAATTGTTTTCCAATGAAGCGAAATGCTACAGAAATCCAAGTCTCCCCCCCCCCCCGCTCTGTGTGTGGAGGAAACACAAAGGACGGATACGTGGCAGATCCCCGAGGAAAATGGATGGTATGAAGAAATGTGCCATTAATTGCAGTTAGCTGGGCCTTGGCGTTTGGGTCAATACTGTCTTGAAAACCTCAGGCCATCTATCACTTATTAGCCTCATCTTCAGCCAAGGCTGCTTAGCCCTGGAAAAAAAGTTCTTCACTTAAAGATAAACTTCTAAAATGAGTCAAAACTTCTAGATCTTCCTTGGTTGGAAGTAGTTGGCTAGGGAGAGAAGCAAAGACTGTTCCCGGTTAGGAAGATGGATGGAGGAGGGAGAGAGAGGGAGAGAGAGGGAGGGAGGGAGGGAGGGAGGGAGGGAGGGAGAGAGATATGATTAGATAGATAGATAGATAGATAGATAGATAGATAGATAGATAGACAGACAGACAGACAGACAGACAGACAGTCAGACAGATAGGAGAGAGAGAGAAAGAAAGAGGATAGATGATTGATGATTGATAGATGATGAGAGAGATTATTAGATAGATAGATAGATAGATAGATAGATAGATAGAGAGAGAGAGAGAGAGAGAGAGAGAGAGATGATAGATAGATAGATAGATAGATAGATGATAGATAGACAGATAGATAGATAGATAGAAGAGAGAGAGAAAGAGAGAGGTGATAGATGATAGATGATTGATTGATAGATGATAGATAGATGAGAAAGAGAGAGAGAGAGATGAGAGAGAGATGAGAGAAAGAGATAGATAGATAGATAGATAGATAGATAGATAGATAGATAGAGTGAGTAAGTGAGTGAGTGAGTGAGTAAGCGGGCGGGCAACAACACTTAGACTTATATACTGCTTCACAGTGCTTTTACAGCCCTCTCTAAGCGGTTTACAGAGTCAGTCTCCTGCTCCCAAAAATTTGAGTCCTTATTTTACTGACCTCGGAAAGGA